CAGCCACGCTCCCACCCCCCTCGCCGCGGGTCAGCCTTGAAGTCGCTTCTCCCCGTTTGCTCATTCCCTCACCCAGTCCGCAGATGTGTGCTGAGGACCTGCCGTGGGCCAAGCACCGCGGATTCCGGAAGGACACAAGGTGGCCAATGCTCTGGAGTTAGCGGGGACACTGGGGAACTATAACCAGTGTCGCAAGCGCTTTTACGCAGCGCATGTTGAGCTCTGTGCCAGCGAGCACGTTCTGTGGACGACCTAGGACCCCACGATGGAACTGGGCGTTATGGGCTGTGTAAGAGTCACAGAGGGGTGTGTGCGAAAAAGCCAGGAGGCTCCGTTTCACCGAGACGAAAACGGCGGGCCAAGGCGTGGGGGACGAAAGAACTAAACTTAAAAGGCAAAGAGGAAGTTGCCTTTGTCGGTAAGCTCAGGTGTGCAGGGTGTAGGGTGGCAGGTGAGCAGGCCTTTGGGGTCAGACTTCCAAGGGCTCTTGTGTCCTGGTGGAGCCGGGAGGCTGCAAGAAGCTTAAAGCAGGTAGCCCTTTTCTGGTCTGTTTTGCCAAGACACTCAGGCCAAGGATTCAGTAAATGTTAGTTGAATGAATGTTCATTCTATGCCAGGCTTTACTAGGAGCTTTGCACACACCCACTCTTTTAATACCCACAGTAGCCCTATAAATAGGTAGCTGTGTTTGTCCCAGTCCTCCGGATAGGAGTATTGTGCAAGAGGTTTATGAGGGAGAGTGGACAGGGAGTTGAGATGCAAGAGGAAAAATGGAGAAGGAACTGCAGCATGACCACATCCCGCTGGGGATGCTTTCTCCTTTGCTCTCTCCCTCTTTCTGTCTCTCTCCAAGTGCATGCATGCTCTGGCAATTAAAAATATGCAAATATTGGGGCCTGCAGGTGGTGTGGTGGTTAAAGGAGCTGGACTCCCACATGGTGGACTGCAGTTCGCGTCCCGGACCTAATGGCTTGCTTTCTCACTTTCTCTCTCTCTCTTTGTCTGATCAAACTGGAAAGTAATAATAATAAATAAAGTTAAATAAAAACTAATATTTAAAATCCCAAGAGGAGAATGGAGGAGAAGGGATTGTAGTGTGGTCATCCCTTTCTCACTTTTGATCTTTCTGTCTCTCCAGTGAGCACACACTGCCATAGCAAAAATCTCTCTAAAAAAAAATTATATATATATATATATACACACACACACACATATATATATATACATACACACACACACATTTATCAAAGGATAGATTTCAGCTGGACTCAGCATCTGGGGCAGAACCTTGGTCAGTTATGCTGTCTGCTCTGCAAGATCTAAAAAGTGCAGTGTCTTGGGCCCTATAGAAATCTCACCCTCATTTTATTTACAGGAGAGACTTAAGTCACTTAACAAGCTTAACCAGTTGCTGAGTGGTGGATCCTGCTTGGCGAGGATGTGGGGCTGTGGCCTCCAGACCTTTCACCTTTTCTACTCTGTGCCTCGCTGCCTCCCAGCTGTCTGGGGTGGGCAGCTGGGGTGAGCAAACCAGTGAGAAACCATTGCAGAAGACTCCATGAGATGATGTGCTCTATTTAAAATGGCAGGAAATTCCTCACCTCTCCTCACACTGAGAGGCAGGTCTATACCTTGTCTCCTTGAATTTGGGCAGGACTGAGTGATGTGTCAAACATGGAGGAAATGACTGTATCCTGGAACTTCTGAAGCTAGCTTCTAACTGGCTTATTTGCAGCTCCTATCTGGGCATCTGGAAGTCCCCACTCTTGGAGCCATGATCTACCACTAAGTTCAGCCACCCAGAGACTACCATGCTGGAGAGAATGTGGGAGAGACGTCAGGAAGATGCCCTGAACCTGTAAAAAGAGAGATGGCTTCTTGACCCCCACTGTCTCCAGGCATTGGAAGCATGAGCCCCGGACGTTATGGGGCAGAGATCTGTTGTCCCTGCTGAGTCTTGCCTGAAATGCAAAGTGAAGATTGCTATTTTTTTTGCTTTTTTATTTTTTTTTTAGAGTGATGTTTTTGCTATAGGGTGTGCACACTCTTCTGGAGAGACAGAGAGATATAGAAAGCAAGAAATCACCCCCCCCTCGGGGGGATGGCCGTGCTGCAATCCCTTCTCCTCCATTCTCTCAGGATTTTGGGCATGCATGCACACACGCCCAATGTGAGTTTTCTTTCTTTTTAGAGAGGTTTTTGCTATAGTGCGTGTGCTCTCACCGGAGAGGCAGAGAGAGAAGAGAGAGAGACAGAAAGCGAGACATCATCCCCCAGGGGGATGGCCATACCACAATCCCTTCTCAAGTCTCCTTTTGGGATTTTGGGCATGTAGTCACATGTGCCCAGAGTTTCAAGCTGCTGGGTCTGGGACTTGAACTGTGATCAACTATGTGGGAGTCCAGCAATGTATCCATTACATCATCTGCTGGTCCCCCTGTATGAGTTTTTTTGTTTATTTTGTATTTTTTTTTTTTGAGAAGTTTTTGCTATAGGGCGTGTGTGCTTGCCAGAAAGACAAAGAGAGATAGAGAGACAGCGAGAAATCACCCCTGGGGGTTGGGGGGATGGCCACGCCTCAGTCCCTTCTCCTCCATTCTCCTCTTAGGATCTTGGGCACACATGCACACACACGTGCCCGGCATGCCCGGTGTGAGTTTAAGCCACCAGGTCCGAGACTAGAACCGTGGCCAGCTACATGGGAGTCCAGTAACATAGCCATTACACCAATGGCTGGTTCCCCCTGCCCATGTGAGTTTTAAGCCACCAAGTCCCAGACTTGAACCATGGTCGACGACTTGGGAACCCAGCACAATAACCATTATACCGTGGGCTGATCCCGTGCTGTTGTTTTAAGCTGCTGAGGGTAGTGTGCTACTCAGAGGTAACAGCACGTGTGCGCGCGTCTGAGGCTGGGACACTGACAATGCCGTCATGGCTGCCTATTTCTACTCTACCCCTGTGCAAACGTCAGAGGTCTCTGAACAGCAGCCCCAGAGCCCCACCCAGCCCTGTGTGTGAGTAGAACTTGGTAGGATCTAGAATGATCTGGGTGTTCCCACCTTGGTGGCTGGTATACCTGAGTGGTCTCCCAGTCCTCCTGTGCCCACAGCTGGCAGCCTCTCCCCACCTCATTCTGCCATAATCATGGCCTGTTAGGTCCCATCTCTGTGTCCTGTGCCCCAGTTTCCCTAATGGGCTGCGCTAGCCCACTAACACTCACTTGCCCCCTTCTTAGGCGTGGATTGGTTCTGCTGCAGTCTGTGTGTGTCTTTTCCTCCCCTAACTAAAAAAAAAAGGATTTGGTAACTTGCCTGCCTAAGTACTCGGCACTCAGAGGTTCATGCTCAAGTTGAACCCCCACTCTCACCCCTGGCTACTAAATCAGATCTATTTGCTGGCTCCATTCTGGAACTACACTCCATAGTTACCTGCCCCCTCCAGCCCCGGGGCCAATGGCCGGGCACTCTTCTGTCCTTCCAGCCTGTCTGGGCCACTGGGGTGGAAGCTGCCTATAGGGATGGAAAGATGCAGCCAGATTTGATCAACAGCGCTAGTGTGGGGTGTTCCTAGACCAGTTCCGAACTCAGTTGCCCTCAGTTTACCTTCGCTGTGAGGATCTCTCACTATGGTTTGCTCTAAGTCAGCAAGTGGTAAGCTGCTTTCCCTTTAAGACTGCCTCATGCTGGACAAAAACCTTCCTTACTTCCTCTTAGTGCAGCTGACCAGACTAGCCTTTTTTAAATGTCCTAAACACTAAGAGAAAACAAAAAAGAACCTAACTGTAGAAAATACAAAGAAAGAAATGAATGCATGTTCTCAAGATAGTCTGGGGCCTCACAATGTTTTCTGTCTTATCACAAAGACTGGTTCAACTTTTTAGCACCTGGCCTGGAAGGCTTTTTGTTCAGTTCCGACTTCTTCTGAGGCAGGAGAAAGTAGTAAATGGAAGCAGATAAAGGGTCTGAACTGTCTTCCCATGTGGCTAGATAGAAAAACCAATCAGGGCAGAAAATTCCCTCCCGAGGTAATGTAGGCAGGGGATGTGTGTGTGTGTGTGTGTGTGTGTGTGTGTGTCTGGCTGATTAAGACACATTCGATATAGCTAATGAGATGAATCAGTAAGCCCAAGCACTTTTGTCATAGCCAATGAGAATCGGTGGGCCTAGCCACATTTGATAGCGCTGAGATGACCACAATCAGTGGGCCCAGCCAATAATCAAGCAATATGACTTAGATTAGAATGATAAACGTCACAGAATGGAACCGCTGGCACCTTTGGAGCCACTCTTTCTCTGTCCATGCAGGCCGGCTTCTACGTCTCAGGAGTGTACTTTCACTTCTATTTAAGAAACCGCCTTTTTCTTTCACTATTGGCATGTTTCATTCAATTCTTTGTCTGAAACACCTGGATTTCATCACAAAAGCCATCCCATAACACTTCAACCTGTGAAAAAGCCCTAAATTCTGACATCAGCTTCTCACAGCCTCTTGGGATGTCCTCATCTCGGATCTCTTAGGACACATTGCCTCTACCGTGAATTGGCAATATTAA